AAATCCTAATAATAAACCTAAACTTAATAATCAAGTAACTGATATCTCTTCATAATTATCCATAAAACGAAAATAATAATAAACATCATAATAATGACAAAACCGGGTTTCTAATAATCCCCACCACTTCAGAGCAACCTTAACCTCGAAGTTGCAGCTAACTTCACGATATTCTCCTGCCTTTATATTGATTCTTAGATGTTGGGTCAAAAAGTGCTTACGCTTCCTCCTCTTCCAATTACGCTCTGGCATTTGAAACAGAGTTCTAGCACACACAACTCTTTCCTCTGCCGAATTCTCATATAGGTAACTATTATCATCGAAACATGCACCCGGGGTTATTCGTCCTTTCTTATTGACCCAGCAAATTATGACCAAATAAAAACTCTTCCTTGTGCCCTCCATCACGAAAAACGCATTTGAGGTCTTCAAAATGGTGCTCCACAGAAGCTAACACTATTCTAGCCGCACTCATTTTAGTGCAACCAAGCCACCACTCTACATTAAAGCCCCTTTCTCTAGCTTTCTGTTCCAAGCATACCATAACAAAGGTACCAGCCTTATGCATGTGCCCACTCCCACTATAATCACATTGTCAGGTAGAACAACGTATTCCATCTCCATCAACCAAAGATGACTCTTTTGAAGCTGAAGGGGTGATTGATATCGCTAGCGTCAGATCCGATGTTATGTTCAGTCACCATAACAGTAGTCGAACGTCTTAATATTGTTAGAAATCGAACAAACACAATAGGTAGGGCTGGGAAAATAGACCAGACCGTTAGAAAAACCGTGGTCCAAACCGTACCGCACAATTTGGTCCGGACCGTAGACCGTGAAGTATGGTCTGGTCTGGTCCATGGTCTGTATTATTTTATGATTTGATCTCTTGGTCTGGTCTGGTCTAGACCAGACCAGACCAAGAGATCAAATCATAAAATAATACAGACCATGGACCGCGGTTTACCAGATCAGACCGTAGACCCAACTGACTTGTCAATACGTGTTAACAGCCCATTCGACCACTCTCCAAACTCCCACAACGACACCCAAGTCTCAACCTTAATTTTGTGAATCTCTTCCCTTCTTCATTCACAACCACATTTAACCACAGAGTAGAGATGACATTATGTTAATGTTTATGACATTATGTTAATGTTTATGACATTATGGTGCAAGCTGGGATGCTTTTACTTTGTATCTTTGTTATGTACTAAGATTTAGAGTATCAAAATTATTCATGCATGTTAGGATTAATGTTTTAAGGCAAATAACAATTATTTTTCTTGGTTATTGGTTCAATTTTTGGTGTGGTTGACTAAACAAATTATTCATTTTTCGTTGAGTGTGGTCTATCTGGACCAGACCAGACCGAACCAGACCGCACAGGCGTGGTCTGGACCAGACCGTATAGTATATGGTCTGGTCTGTGGTCTATACTTTAGCCTCTCGGTCTGGATCGTAGACCGTATATATGGTCTGGTCTGGACCAGACCGCACCGTTTTCCAGCCCTAACAATAGGGTTACCGAATCGGGTTGAATTGCGGATTAGGTCGCTCTCTTTAAGACGTTTGTGACACTGCCTAGTATTTTGCACAACAGTTTATAAGCTAGTCGCCTCCAGGATAAAAACACTCACTCGTATACTCTCGGTTTGTGCGGAACCAGGGTTCTATGAATATCACTCTCCTCATCAGATTATGTCCTCTTTCGTGGGGAAAAATCACAATTAATTAGGATGACGATTACCCTATAATTAAAATGTGGTCGGTAAGATAATTAACCATAATTATCTCTCAATTGTTCCTTTTATTATATTAATTATCCTCATTGTATCCATCGAGGTAATAATTAATTTATCATGTCTCCAAAATGTATAGCCTCAAGTCGACCAACCACCCACCCTCCTGACTAACGCTTGTGTGGTATATAGGGATGGCAATCAAACCCATGGCCGCGGGTACCCGACCGCCCCATACCCAGTCAACGCGGGGAATCCTCGCTTTGACCGGGTATGGGGCGGGTATGGGTAAAACCCGCAAAAGGTTTGATGGGTATGGGGCGGGTATGGTTTTAGCCTCTCCCGCCCAATACCCATACCCATACCCGCCCCACCAATAAAATTTCTTTACATATCAAAAAATACGTGGATTAAATTGTAATCTATCAATGATTATGATGATAACTCGAGAAAATAAATAGTAGAAATGCAATTGAGTAACCACCTTAATCAAAACCGAATTCATTTCCCTCAATTCTCCTTCCACTCTTTCACTTTCCCCCTTGTCAACAAAATTATGTTAGTTAATTATTACTTAGTAAATGTATCAAGAGTTAGAGCATAATAATTTAAAAAATATTATAGTCTATATTATGTATTAATGGATGTTTTAGGATCATATTCTTTGAATCGTATTTAGAAAATGACCGTGTTTTGTTGACTTCGTGATATAATAGGTTTGTTTATGGTTATAATTAAAACTTTTCTGGTAAGTTTTAGGTATAATAATGTTGGATGTACGGGGATGGGTATTACCCATGGGTACCCGAAACCCACGGGTATGGGGATGGGTTTGCAAAACATTCCCCGCATGGGTATGGGGCGGGTATGGGTTTGGGTATTTGAAGATGGGGATGGTTTAGGCAAATCCGCCCCATTGCCATCCCTAGTGGTATAAGGGTCTTGAGGTCATCCCCTCTCACAAAAATGGGTACTCCAAGAGATATGCCTTAAAAGAGAGAAAACTATATAAATACACGTTTAATGGATGTTCACTTACCAATGTGGTAGTTTCTCTTGAAACTTCTCACATACCTCTCAAATATTTTTTTACCAACATGTTTTGATGAGAGAGTTGTGGGATTGGCCAATAGTTGGAGAATCAAGTTTGTAAATTACCAAAGGCGTGAACCAATCAACGCATGAAAGATGGAGTTACTTTAACAACCCGTTTGATACCAAATGAATCAAGAATTGATTTCATTTTAAAATTAATTACTGTGTAGAATGAGTTCAAGTGTTTGGTATGTCATATTCAAATTTTAAGAAATAAAATAAATAAAATGTCCAAGCAACGTTTGGCCTACGTTCATGATTGAATTAAATTGAAAGTTTTCGACAACATCCTTATTAATTTTCGATAAAGACAATATTCGTTGAAAAATCATCTTCTAAAAAACACAACTGACAAAGTTGTTATCCAACCAATAATACAAAGCTAAGAAATAAGTTCAAGAAAAAACTAGGTGGGTTGTGCATGTTGGTAGAACATAGAGTAGAACGAATGTGGAAATAACGTCAAATAATATATGTAGAGTAATTTAATTAATAAATGAGGATAATTATATCATTCTATTATAATTAGTAAAATACTTTTGAAATTAATTTGAAAATGCCATCTCAATTTCTTCGAATTGATATAACTAGTTCAGAACGATGAATTCTTTTAAATAACAAATACAAAAAGATTTCATTTCAAAATAAATTTCTCCAAACTTATTGAATTTATTTATATTAAACGGTATGGAAGTGAACTTAATGACAAGTAATATATGTTTTAGGAGGCGTTGGCCTATTTTCTTACTAAAATAAAAACATTTTCCCATACGGTGACGGATCGCCAGGGACATCCAGCACCCCTAATTTTACCAGGAATTGTCCTAGAAGTCGTCATATATGCCCTGACGGAGGCAAGTGTTGAGGGACAGAAAAATTAGGCAAAAATATATTAGATACGTAGTTTTAGCTGATCCTTCAAACTTACGACCCCACACTTTCATTAATTGTAGTTAATACTTAAATACCCCAATCAACTCAAATTCCATTAAGGCATAGATTTTAACATTACGGATTTATAGGACCCCAGTTAACTTGAAGTTTGGCTAGACCACGCCACTATATTATATTACACCCAGAAATCAGACTACTGCAAAATTAATTGGAAGCTAGATTAAATTCGTGTAAGCAGTGCAGCCCTTTAGAGGAAAATTGTTCTCAATGAAAATAAAGAACAATGCTATGTCATTCTATTATAGAATTAGTAAAATATTTGTGAAATTCATTTGAAAATTTCATCTCAATGTCTTAGAATTGATATAACTAGTTCAGAAAGATGAATTCTTTTAAATAACAAATACAAAAAGATTTCATTTCAAAATAAATTTCTTCAAACTTATGGAATTTATTTATATTACACGATATGGTTGTGAACTTAATGACAAGTAATAAATGTTTTATGAGGCGTTGGCCTATTTTCTTACTAAAGTTAAAACATTTTTTTCATACGGTGACGAATTGCCATGAAAAAAAAAAAGACATCCGGTGCCCCTAATTTTACTAGGAATGTCTTAGAAGTCATCACATATGCTATGAAGGAGGTTGAGGGACAGAAAAATTAGGCAAAAATCTATTAGATACGTAGTTTTAGCCTTTCCTTCAAACTTACGATCCCATACTTTCATCAATTGTAGTTAATACGTAAGGACCCCAATCAACTCAAATTCCATTAAGGCATAGATTTTAACATTACGGAGTTATAGGACCCCAGTTAACTTGAAGTCTCGCTCGCTAAGCCACGCCACTATATTATATTACACGCGATTCAGAAATCAGACTACTACAACTAAATTAATTGGAAGCTAGATTAGATTCGTGTAAGAAGTGCAGTACTTTAGAGGAAAATTGTTCTGAATGAAAAATAAAGAACAATGCTATGCTCAACAACCACATAAAAGAAGGGCAAAGATGCTATACATGTTCCATTATCCTTATCTATTATTCCCACTCCCTTCTTCATTTACCCTGTTTTTTTGTGGGACTGAGAATTTGTCAAAAGAAGGATGGATGCAGGAGCAACAACACTAACAAGGTTTTTTAAACCTTTTCCACTTTTCAGCTTTTGCTTTCTTTCACTTGTTGGGAGGAGCATGTATTATTGGATAAGAGAAGAAACGAGCCTTAACTAACGAAACTAATCCATAAGCAAAGGACAAATGTATGCTCTTTTGACAAAAGAAAATTGAATTTTAGGAGAGCCCATGTATAAAGGATCTCCAATAAATGTAATCGATCTAGAGGAAAAACATTTGGTTTGTTGGGATCTTACAACTCTACTCAAGAATTATGTGCTGATTTCTGTCACTGGTAGAAGAACTTACAAATTCCTAGAATAAAAATGGTGGGGGAAACATGGAACCAGAAAAACAAAATGGATCAACTTTTAGAATGAATGAACGGCCAGCTATATACAGTAACTCCTTACAGAGTCTTCCAGCAACTAATGACTTGGGTGGACTATCTCCTTCACCATGTCTATGTTCTTGTAAACCTTGAACGTCGGGACCATTCTTATACTCTCGGCCTTTGCAATTCCCAAGGTCTCTCCCACATCCACCTGCTTCAAAATTCAACACAGACAAGAGTGATCAGCTCCATTGACAGTTTACACACCAGAGTTCTCCATGGCATATCGATCCCATATACTGGTACTAGCAAATTATCCCTACCTTGAACAAATGGATTGATGGGTATCGAACACAAAGCATGTTCATGAAGGGCGACATATCGTCAGGTTCGTCATCTCCCTCTGCTTTAAAGTGAACCACTGCAACACCTGGAAATTTTTAAATTCGAAAGAATTTTTTTAACATAGAAAGTCCGAGGTGTTTAAGAGAAGGCAAATCAGAGCGGGTATCATGGTGCGCACCAGGGGAGGATATTCCAGCTTTAAATTTATCAAGCCTACAAACTTCTTCAACTTCACCACCTAATTTTCCATCGTAAACTTGTCCATGATATTTCTTTAATGCATTCTCTGCCTGATGAAGATGTTGCAAAACCTCATTTTCATGAGGCAGTTCTTGTCTGAGAGCCTCATAATCTTTCACAGTTTCTGCCCACCTTCCGAGCTATATAACACATCAACGAAAGCAAAAACATCAGGCTGTACTTCCAAGGCAAGAATCCAATGCTAAGAACTCACTGTAAGAGGAAATGTCATGTGAGATGATGACCAGACACAGTATATTTTCTTCACCTTTCCATTAGATGCAGCCCGCCGAGGAGGGCCTTAGTGCAGTTTGGTTGGATCTTAAGCGCTTTGTTGCATTCCTCGACTGACTTTTCCCACAATCCAAGCTTAGACCAACACACAGCTCTATTACAGTACAAAACCACACTGGAAATATCATATTTGAGACGTTCACCATAAACAGAACTAGCTTCAGCATATCTTCCTGAGCTGAAAAGATCGTTGCCATGGGTACGAGCTCTTGCCACAGCTTTCATTGTTCAACACCATGGAGAGCTCAATGTTACCATGATCTATTAAGACAGCCTTCTCAGTCAGGGACAATGCATTATCAAATCTGCAAAAGAAACGACATCATGATCATCACAATCATCTGCAAAAAAAACAAAATCAAGGAAAGGGCATGCATGCAAAAAGCATACCTGCCCAATGCCATGTCTACTTGAGCTCGGACGTAAAGAATGTAAGCCTCAGAAAGCAAACCAAAGACTTGGTTTTGGGAGAACAATGTTCAAACTTAGGAATCTTTGCTACAGTTGAATCTGCATCTTCATGTTGGTGGAGTTTTAAGTATGCTTCTATTCTACAAGCTATAAGCTGGAAATTCCACCCTAATAACTTTTAAGTCAATCCAAAATCTTGTTCTCTCCCAACAGCTATATACAACACAAGGAAGAGTAGAGATCATACCAGGGGAGAAGAATCGATACCAATAGCTAAGGCGCCATTAGTTTCCCTGATGACGCTTTTCTAGTCACCAACCTTGCGAGCAAGCATGCATTGATTCTGCTTGTCCAACAATTATAACTTGTGCAACTCAAGTGGATCTGGTTGCTGCCCTCGAAAATTGAGGTGGGTCCGAGCGTCTTTCGCCTGTCCTAACCTGCAAGCAATCGGAGTAGGGGAAATGTGCTGATTTCATCGATATTATTGTCTAATAGTAACCAACGACGACTAAGGCAAATGAAACTCAAAACTTTAAGGCGCAACATGGCTAGAGAAGACTGAATGAGCTAATCACGGTGGAATTAGAGCATAAATTCAGAAATTAACCAGTGGAAGAAAATGTTTGATCCTGGTCAATAGTGCAATAGCCAATATGTCAAAGATAAGTTAATAGACTGCTCATAACTGAAGAGCCAAAATAGGTGAAAAGAAAAGACAGAGAGGGCAAAAATAGTAAACAAGAGCATGGTCCGGTCAACAAGTGTCAAACTGTCAAAATCAAGGAAAACCTTTCTATCCTAATCAACCACTCTTCAGTAGTATATGCGAATTCAAGAACTATAAGAACTCCAAAGGAGATCCATGGAAGTTAAAACCCCCTAAGATACAGAGATGCCAACCTCTGATGGGCTCTGGCGTAACCAGGGTCCAATCTCACAGCTTCACATTCCTTTACAGCTTCACTTAGCCTTCCCAATGCCGTCAATGTCGCCACCCGATTGCTTTGGTAGACGGTATTGTCCGGAGACAACAGGATTGATTTATCATACAAAGCCAAAGCCTCCACGAACTTCCCTCTCTTGTACATCTCATTACCTCCACTCTTCATTTCTTCCAGATCGCCGCAACCAATCCCGAGCTTCCCGCCCCCAGCTCCACTGTCGCCGCTGCGCATAATGCTGCCATGTCCGTAGTGCCTCGAGCCTTTCCCCATCAGGGTATCGTTACTATTCGAGGCCCGACTTGGCAACCCGATCTTCTTCAAGATCTTCCCGAAAGGACAGATGTTCCCACTGGGAAGTGAATTCAGTCCGGAATTACCAGGAGTAACTGCAGAGGTCGCTCCGTTGATCATGGCGGACGAGAAGCTCGACCCGGAATAGATCAATGGAGCACCGGCGGAGCTGGATCTTCGGTGGCCCGGATGCGAGGCGCGGCCGTTGGAACCTGGTCGAGATGAATCCCCCTGAACCGTGTTGGCCTCGGAAGTAAGCTCTCCGGAGTTCCCGGCTTTACCCGGGACAGATCCGGAAGAGCCAGAAGTACTGCCGCTCGAAGTAGTGGTGGCCGGAGCAGCTTAAGCAGCCACGTTACGGGTTGGCAGAGGCCAAACAGGGGACCCCAGATCGTGTTCCCTCGAAGAATCAGCTGGCTTCTTCTTGGGAGTAGAGCTGCTGCAACTCAACGAGTCACAAAAGCGAGTCGAGAGGGGATCGTTGGCGGAATCCGGGATGGATTTCTTGGCATTGTGAGACATTTTTTTGTTTTAGAATTTTTGCTCTCCTGGCCTTGTTTGGGTGGAGACGCTGTAGATCTCGAAGGGAGGAGGCAAGGAAGAAAAACAGAGGCTGCAGTGAATGCGGAGGAGAAAATTCACAAGGCTACAATGAGAAAAGGAGAGAAAGTTTTAAGGGAAGGGGAAGAGGAAGGTGAAGAGAGGATCTCGTGAAAGGAAAGAATGAATGAATGATAGTAATGGCAGAGATGGAAGTTGGGAAAAAAGGGATAGAAATGGAGCGATTGTTTGTTTATACACAACAACTGCAATAAATCAAACATTAATCTTTCGTGAATCATGAACATGGCCTCTAAATCAAAGGTACTATAACAACAAAAAAAAGGGAGGCTAGAGCAAAGCTGTTAACCGGATTGGACCGTTGATCCGGTTAGTGGATCGAGAGGCGGGTTGGTGGTTCAATCGGGATTAACCTGTTTGAGGGATTTTTTTAGAAATAACACTGTTTAAAAAAACCAAAAATAGCACCCAACCCCGAAAAATTCCAAAAATAGCACACTTTCTCAAAAACCGCCACCCGGACCAGCTATTTTCATCTAAACTGCTGGTTGAACATGAGAATTAAACTCAAACCCATAAGTGTACATCTTATTCCGACTAGGTAAAAGCGCCTTTAACCCGATTTTAGTATTTTTTAAATTTTCTTTTTTTCTTTTTGTTGAGAATTACAAGTCATACTCATGGTATTGACGAGTTTTGTATCGGGAGCGAGTTTTATTCGCTGTTGTTGTCGAGTTTTGGCTCGGGAGCGATTGAGAATGCTAATCGAACCCAAACCCAACGGTATTCAATCTAATGCGGTCTACTCAAACCTGCGATCAGCCCCGAAAATCCATAAAAAAAGATAATCAAGATTAACTTAATAAAAACAAAGCAAAAAGAGTACAAAGTGGACAATATCGTCATGAAAAAAGTTAAAAAATATAAATCATTTGCTCGACAGCTCTTCTCACTAATGAAAGTTTATCGCTTAGCCGACCACATGGTATTGTAGATGAAAAACCCATAGAAAGAAAGATTAAGAATGAAATAAAATACTTTTACTTTTGGATCAACATTATTTAAACTAATACTCTACAAAATATTGGGGTAATTGCAAGATTGGTCACTGAGATTACTAAAAACGTTCATGTTCGGTCACTAAAAATATTTAATTTCATTCGTGGTCAATAAAATTAGTTAAATATTTCACGTTTGGTCACTCTCCGTCCAACTCCGTTAACTTTTGCTGACGTGGTGGTCAACTCTAAGATTTGACTGTTAAATGTGTGACATGGCAACTAAAATTAATTAATTAAATAAAATGAATGTTTTTAAAATTTTCACCTCATTTCTTAGTTCTTACAGCAAGGAGCGGGTCAATACTCCATCCGAGTCGGGTCGGGTCGACGTCCACATCGACTTCTAGATGTGTGATTTCTCGGCGCTCAAAACATTGGCGAGTAGCCGGCCACTTGGGGCTGAAGGATCACATGATGTATTGAAGAAGGGATTGTGTTTGTTTTGGGAAGTTGGACTTGAATGATGGGACGAAATGTCTATAAGGGGAAATTAGGATTTAGGGAGGAGCCGATTTCTTGGTGTTGAAGTAGTGTGGGGAAGACGATGGAGATCAGTTTTTGGGGGATGTTTAACGTAAGTTGGTATGCAGCAGCGGAGCAATCCGCTAGCTTTTTACCCATTCCGTCTGGACTACTTTGGATATTTCTTTGGAAGTTGGAAGAACAATGGCCGCGAATCGGGTATTGCAAGTCGTAAGAGGAGTGGATGGAGCAATAGAGGATCTTCGGGAGAGACGGAGGAGGGTCGGCGGACATGTTGAAGATGATGATGGACATCCAAAAAACTGTACGGGATGCTGAAACTGAAATGCACCCATAAATTGGAATGGTTCGAGGTGACTCTGGTGGGAACGGATGCGGCATCGTCAACAGCGGCAAAGACGAGCAATGAGCAGGGATTAATGAATAAAGGTCGATGCAAAGATAGAATTTTTTTATTATCTTTTTAATAGTTAGAAATGAGGTGGATATTTTAAAAAATTAAATTTTATTTATTTTATTATTATTTAGTTGTCCTGCCACAGATTTAATGGTCAACTCTTAGAGTTGACCGCGACATAAGCAAAAGTTAACAAAGTTGGATGGAGAGTGACCAATCGTGAAATATTAAACTAATTTTAGTGACTGACTCGCTCTGACTATCACAATAAAATCTCACCTAAGGTCCAAGTATAAATCTTAGATGAGTGCAATATAGAGCAAGTATGTTTAAATATCGTCCCGGGTCGGCCCATGTACCGCTACTTTGACTGTTTGAAACATTATATAGCAGATAGTTTTGGTTAAAAAGAAGATCTAAATCTAAAGTACTTTGCCAAGATGAAATGGTTTTGACACTAATTGAGAAGGCTTCACCTCGGTGTTGGTCCCCCTAGCTAACAATTACGACTTGAAGGATCGAATGACCATGTGTTATTAGGGGGTTATAAACCGCAGGGAAGTCTAACAAGTATCCCAAATCCTTGCTTGGAGATGAAACCCTAGCTTCTCCTCTTCTTTGGTTCGTCACTCTCACTCTAAAATCTGAAGAAGAAGAAGTTTCTCACACTAGGTCCCTCCCTTTCTTCTTCCTTTCAGCTAGCTCTTTATACTGAGATCGTGCCCAGTTCACGGCCGTGAACAACAAAACGCGTCCGTGAACACATCGTGCTGAACCAAAACACACCGCTTCACTTCTTGGTTTCACGGCCTGTGGTTGCAGTTCACGGTCTTAGCAACCGTGAACGGCCTTGGTGTCAGTAACCTCAGAATCCCCTCTAGTCGCTTCTTGGTTCACGGGTTGTGGTTCCAGTTCACGGTCTTCGAGACTAAGAAGTCCAATGGCAGATCGTGAACACAGGCTGTCTCCTCCTCTTTGCCCAGTCTTTGCTCCTTTTCTTACAACTTTCGACTTTGGGGTTGGTTTCACCTGTTAGAATCTGAAACACATTGAAACACAAGAAACCTAGCGTAAAACCACCCCTTTTAGAGCTCAATTCCAACAAACGTCAAAGAGAAACGGGGATAAAAAGTGTACAAGTAGGCTCGAATCACTCCCCCACACTTTGACGTTCGCTTGTCCCCAAGCAAACCATTTCACACAAGGTAATATCTCAACCTAACAAAAATGCTTTGGGAACAAATCAAAGGGCACAAAGTGGCGAATCTCAATGGCTATTGGCAATTAACACATGAACCATTGCAAGCAATATCGACATCCATAACAAACGACATTAGACGACACCAAAAATGGGCAAACGAAAATTTATCACCTTGTTCATGAATCAATGCAAGTTTCAACACGAGATTCCACCACAAACCGGCCACTTTGATCATGCAAACATTGCTTGGAGCCCTCAAAATTTTCAAATTTGGGCATACATCAAGGCTCCAAGCATCAATCACACTCACACAAGCATAATAATAAACTACCCACCCACACTTAAGTTCGACATTGTCCTCAATGGCGTAAGATAGGGGTAGAACGATGGTACCGCATTGCTTGGTGAGTGAAAGTTTGAATTATTCCAGAGTAGGAGATTTGAGCTTCAAGGAGAAGACAAAAACACACACAAACACAACACATACTTGCTCGAGGCGAGGTTATTACCAATACAGTCAAAAGAGCGATTCTACCTAGAAGAGAAAAATGGGTAAAATCGTAAAGCGTAGAATTAAAGCGTAAAAGCGTAAGTTATTGAAGCATACTGTAAAATAACTAAAAATATGTTAAGTACGACATATAATGTGTAAAATATAAGTGCACAGAAGTTAGATAAGTTAATAAATACTTGCAATGCATGCCTAGAGTAGAGCAACTTATAGCCTCTTAATAATACATTCATAAACATAAATCTTAACAATTAGCCACATTCTCCTCTATGGTAATGAATTTGAGAAGAGCCTAGCTGGTGAATTAGATTACTCCGTGGAAGTTGAGAATGCATCCAAGTACTTGGTATGTATCTTTTAATCTCAAATATATCATATTGTTGGTGATTTACCTTTAAAATATACTTTTGATAATTAATTTCATGAAAAGAATACACATTTAGTGAACTAAAAGCGTAAAAACGTAAAGCGTTTTGCTGAACTACAAGCGTAAAATCGTAAGCTTTAAAGCTTTAAAGCGCAATTTAGTCCGGTTTTATACACTAAAGTTTTTATATGGAAACTAAAGTGTTTTGGTGACATAGAAACGTAAAACCGTAATTTTTTGAGTTTTAAAGCGCGATTTTCACTACATTGGTTATTACATATAACAGTACGATAGTAGTAGTAGTAGTTGTTCACACATACCAAATAAAAGAAAGAAAAATAAAAGAGTTCAGAGTTCCAAGTGGAGAAGTGGGGCGAAAGGAATCGGCTCTGTCACATGTCTCACTCGTCGGCTACCTCTCGCTAAGTCGAAGGCCCCGGCTCATCATCAAGAAGTAGGCCCTGGTGACGAGCAATCTGCTCGAGCAGGTCGGTCTGCCGGTCAAGCTGGGAAGTGACGCCCACGATGTGGGTCTCAAGACGGTCCATCCTCTCCACAAGGGGTACCCCTAAATTGGAAGGACAGGCACCTGATGGTGTTGCTGCTGCTGATGGTGGTGCTGCTGCTGGGCGTTGGAGCGTGGGACGCCAGCGGCAACCAGGAGCTCGTGCAGGTGGCTGATCTGAAGGTGGGACCTCTACATCAGGCTCCACTGGAGCCGGGTCAAGTGCTGGCCTCATGACTCTTGAGGGTCGGAGCCCCTCGAGGTACTCTATCCCCCGCTCTCCCTGAAGCACTAGCTTTTGGTTGTAGAGAGTCACCACTGGGAAGGACTCGATCTAGCCGATGATGGAGCACCTCTCCACATCCACGCCGAAGTGTCGGCCCAGCCTCGTGATGATGCCCCCCATGTGCATGGTGTCCACCTTGTTCATCCCTAGACACCGGGCGAAAGAGGTGGAAATCAGTGACCCCAGTTGGATCGGCTCTGCTGGATGCCTCATAGAAAAGAGAGCAAGCAGCCCTCTATTAGTGATCAAATGGCCCGACTGCGAGCTGGGGATGACGGATCGGGTGAGCAACGTGTGCATGATCGTCCACGGGGTCCTCCGCTTCAGCGCATTGGTGCGACCAGCCTAGAACTCGTCCTACTCATG